CTGTTCTAAAAACATACATTGTTCATGCATACACGTATATTTATGAATTACACGCATATAATTATACCTACATATATGTTTGTGGGTTATTGGATAATAAGTATTGTAAATAATAAGAAGAAATTGGGGCTCAATCGAAGTAATATAAGTTGGAGAACTAGAATAAAAATAAGCCACACCTTGAGGGACCAAAACGAACTTTGCCAAGATATATATATATATATATATATATATATATATATATATATATATATATATCTCAAGTCATCTCTTCATCTTCATTTTGCAATCCCTAGTCTGGGAAAATGGGAGTGAACCGAGAGAGAGAGAGAAAAGAAAAAGGAGAGAAAAGAAAAGGGAAAAAGAAGAGAAAAACCATAGTTTTTCCAATGCAAGTCGAAAGCTAGGTATGTACCTCATATAACAATATTTTCATACTGCTTAATTCGAGATTTTAGAGTTAGATTTTGAAGAAGGTTAAAACATGAAAGTTGTAGATAATACCTGGGAATAGTACCCTATTAAATTTAAGCTTAAGATAAATAGTATATCCTCTGTTTTATCCCTTGCAAATAAGCTATTTGGATTTTCGGTGAATCCTGCAGCAAGTCTGATTTTTAGAAAATTACCATGAGTTGTGTATTTCATACCTAGACTTGATTTTTGGATATGTTAGAGCCCTATGAGTCTAGTTTCATATGAAATTGAAATTGCATCATTTAAATCTGTATTTTGGGACTTATGGTAGAAAGAGTGCGAAGGGGTCAAGTACTTATAAAGAAATAAGTTAACCCTAAAGTCATATTTTGCACCTTGAGCATATTTAGAAGTTTGATCATGATAAAATGACTTATAAAAGTATATGTGTATGTGTTTATAGATGTCGAGGAGTATGAGGTGTAAGACGTAACGCGTTGACAAACGACGAAGACTTCATTTTTGTGAGTGGATATAATTGATTGATACTTATGTGTTTGTGTTGCCATATGATGTTATTGATTGTTCTAAATGATATGGTGAACCAATGTTTGTGTATGAATTATGTTTTGATGCTATGAAAGTGCTATGTGCAAGCATGTGTTGATGATTCATGCTATGAGCCATGAATGTTATTATGTATAAGTACAAGTTATATGGGGCATTCATGACGTATGAAAGATAAAAGGGTAAGGTTATGACCACCATGTCCAAGTAATCACAAATACAAGTTACAAGGACCTAATTGGTCAAATACAAGTATACAAGCTGGCTAGCCATACAAGTTTATAAGTTATAAGCTTATAAGCTTACAAGTTATATGTTACGAGTTCCGGAGCGATACTTGACGTGTTTTATTCATAATCGATAAGAAAAGAATACATACAAGCATTTTGATATATGAACATGTATGAATTATATAAATGCTTATGTTTGTGTCATGAATGTGCTTTTGGTTAATGATGTGAAAATGTATATATGTGTGTTAAAGCATCAAGATTATATCTCTCATTGAGTAGCATCTCACTAAAAATGCAATTATATTTTTAGGTGCTAAGAAGCAAGAAGTGGAAGTTAAAGTCATCTTTTGTTGTTCAATTCACATCATGAGTGACGAGTTCGGTTGGCAATCTCCCTCTCATCTCTCTTATTATACCGAGCATATGCATCCTAGGAGATTTTTGAATTGTATATGTAAATGTGTAAATATGAACTTCGGATGTGTTTTGTGATGTGTTTATGAACAAAGAAAAAATGATTTTGATTGAATATCTAAGGGTTATAAGTGAAAAGAATGGTTTTTATTAGGTTTTGAAGTGTTATGACCGAAAAACCCTTGTTTTGGGTAGAAACGTACATGGGAAGGTACACGATCGCGTGGGAGGTCGTGTAACCTCGCTATCCACGTAAAAAAAAAATCCTAATCTTTCTAATATGAGGTTTTAACATTCCTAAGTGATATTTTGTGATTAATTGAGTTTTCTATAACTAAAATGGCTAAGTTATACGAAGCTTTTGTAAAGAATTAGGTTAAGGTCGCTACAATGAGAATCGAAAAAACTATGAGGCTTACCTCGACTCAAGCATGCCTCAAATGTTTAACTATGATCCTCAAATCTGTATCATATCATATTATCATTTCAATTCATAATAATTCAACCTAACAATCATTACTTTATAATTCCAACACTAATCATATTGCATTTCTCAATTCAATATCCATAATTGATTCCTAATATGACATCTACTATATATAATTGCAGAGCTTATAAGAATACAATAAAACCAAACATAATTTCTAAAAAGTTACAAGTAAGTAATTGTATGATCAATGTACTAATTTCAAGACAAGCGATCGAATGAAAGCTAAAAAGGCACCCTCACAAATCCTATACAATTGAAATAGTGAAGGGTAAGTAAATCAACAACTCGGTGAGTAGATACTATGTAATACATCTATAGGAGAGAAACGAACTAAAGACTATACCTTAAAATTTAAATCAAGATGTCATGTTTATTTCTTCAAAACAAATGTATATCACAAAACCAAATGGTACATCATAGTTTAAATGGTTCACAAATATTTCATATCAAATCATCGAAATGTGTGTGTGTGTGTATATATATATATAATCGAATCAAACCACATGTCTATGTTTTTATTTATTTATTTACCCATATGATAAATATAACGTATCATTGGATGCGAACACCCAAATGTCACGCCCCCGTGACTAGGTTTTCATATCTTGGCCAACATATGAGCTACCACTCTATCTCTCTTACTAGCTGGAGCCTCGTTTTCAAAAAATCGTATATATATATAGCTCAAAATCAAATTGATAGCATAATCTCATACCAAATAAACATTTACAAAATTACATGAATAATGAAAATAATCATCTAAAGTAAAAAAAAAAAAATTAAATCCATAATCATATATCAAATATTTACTCAAATCTCTTTTTAAATCATATTCGATACGAAATCATCTCAAATGCTTATGGAGTCTATTCCCGTCTAAATTCTAATGGATGCATTTAAATTATACTTAAACCGAGTTATGCATTGTATAATTATTAAAGGAATTTAAAAACACAACATGGTATATAACATCCACTCACAAGTACAAATAGATAATTGAATGTAGTCAAGGTTGTCGAGATGAAGTTGCCTTCTTCTAAGAATCGAATAACACATGATGATAAAACAACCATCAATATCACATATCAAAAAATAATTCAAAATAAATGAATTATTCTAGGAATAAAAACACAAGATTACTTATAGGAATAGAATTGATTGAAATACTCAATTAATGACTTTAACTAAACTCTATAATTTCTTCAATAATTTTAAACAATTGCCTAACCATATCCCATCATCAATTACAATTCAATCAACCTTTATACAAAAAATTTTCAATTAACTCATCTATTCCATTCCAATTCATTCAATACTTAATCCATTCATCTTTAATTGCATTTATATAACTTAATTCTTCATTTTTTTCATATTCTTTTCAATTCAAAATCCTTATTCATCATCTTCAACCTCTCAATTAATCAAATTTATTCTATTCCACTTTAAATTAACTTCATAAACCACTTACTCGAGACAATTAAATATCACTCAAACACTTAAAATCACTTAATCAATTCTTTCCCCTAATGGGTCTTAAAACTCTAACTTTAATCTAACTCAATTCTTCATTCAATCAACAAATCCAATATAATCTAACTTTAAAATCATCAATAACGACATGTAAACACCATAATTTAAAGATCAAATGATTAAAAATTTTACCTTTGACACTTTGTCCTTCAATCTCAATTTCTATTCGAACTCTCTAAGCTTTTTAAACTTTAATCTAGCTAAACTTCACTTGATCAACTAGTTTATGGTGCTTCGAAGCTAATTTAGTAAGGTTTTAGCTAAGGATTTGAAGGATGAAGATGGGGGAAATTTGGAGAGAAAATGCATTAGAAGGAGAGGAAAAGAAGAGAAAATACATGTAAAGGAGAGGAGAAGAAGAAAGAAAAATATGGAAAGGGACAACTGCTACCTCTTTCTATACCTAGCCTAGATTTTTATTTTTTTCACTTAAATATCTTTTTATTTCTAAATCACATTTCTTAATTCACTTCACACTTCACACTTTGCATTGCTTTGATTCCAATGAAATCTCAAATAAGTTTTTCTTGAATTGTTAAACCACACAATGAGATCACTAATATTATTTTGTACATGTGCTCCATTTTGTAAGCTAATCCATTAGATGGGTAATCAATCTCATATTTCCAATGGCTATAAATATGTAAGGTTTGAAGAAACTATAGCATTTGAGCTCAATCAAATTCATTGAAATCAATAACCTTCTCCTGGATTAAAAGAATAATAATCTATACAAGTGAATACAAAGAAAACAGAAAAAAAAAAAACAATAGAAGGGGAAAAAAAAAAGGAATGGTAAAAGAAACTAGATCTAAAAAGAAATTAGAGGAACAAAAAAGATGAAGAAGAAGGTTTTGGGGCTGGCCACTAGCCACGATTTGGCCGATGGTAGCCCCTAAACCTAAAAAGATAAAAGGTTTTTTTTTAAAAAAAAAAAAAGAAGAAGAAGAGAGGTTTTTATCATTTTTATGTTTTTTAATCAATGAAATACTTAAACTGAAAATGAAGCTATTTAGCGTAATGAAATTATTTTTCAATAATTAAGAAAAGAAGACGTGGATGGAAAAAAATTCATATGGTAGAAAATTGCTTTTGTTTAAAAATTAAGCTAAGGAATGAAAATTTAAAAATATATTGGTTTCAAGCCCAAAAAAAAAAAAAAACTCAAAAATGGATACTACAAGAAGCCTCCAGTGGCATTAAAACGTAAGCTTTAGCCAATAGAAAAGCAGCGACCCCCATTATAACGTGGAATTTATCATGATGTACCACAGAGAATCTCCACTCCCTGCGATAAGAAACCATTATCGTAAAAAGACTTAGAATCTATTTCTCAACTTTGAGCAGAGATGATGCTGTCTCTGCAATTTCTAACCCCTTTGCCTTCCTTAAATATCCCTAATTCCCACTTCATAAACCCTAATCCCCTTTCACTCCAATGCTCCAAAAACCCTAATTTCTACCCAAACTCTTTCTCTAAACCCCACAAAACCCCTTATCTTATAAGTTCAGAGCGCACCCATTTCCTCTCTTTCCTCAAAAGCTCCAACTTTGAACATAAATCCTCACAAAGATTAAAACTTTCACCTCAATTTTGGAGGTTAATTTGCTATGGGGTTAAGGATTCTGGTGAAGAGACTAAGGCAGTGGTGGATTCTGGTGGTGATGGAGGTGGAGGAGGAGGTGGGGATGATGGTGATGGGGAGATGGAGAAAAAGGATGGGATTTTGCCAGAGTGGTTAAACTTCACTCCTGATGATGCGAAGACTGTGTTTGCTGCTGTTGCTGTTTCGCTTGCATTTCGTTCTTTTGTAGCAGAGCCAAGGTTCATTCCTTCTTTGTCTATGTATCCAACATTTGATGTGGGTGATCGAGTTTTTGCAGAGAAGGTAACATGGCTTTTTTCTTTTATGATGTTAATGAGGCTTTATGTGAGTACATTCAATGTTGAACTAAGGTACATTTCAGTCATGGAGATTACATGTATGCAAAGGTTTGTTGTCTTGATGTCACATAAAACTGAGATTTTGTCTGAATAACGAGGGATTTTGACCAATGGGTGTTTGACCTGGTGGTAATTAGCAAGTACGAGGGGCGACTTTAGATTCCAATTTATTGTGGAGTGCAATGCAAGTTTTTGGGAAGCTTTCAAATTTTATACCGGATGTTGCATGAATGAGGAAAATTTGTTAGTGTTAATCTTAAAACTTAGGAACTTATTTTGCCTTTGTTAGTGCTACAATAAGTTTGAGGTTTCTTTGTGTTAAATTTAGTTAAGGGTACAATAATTGTTCTCTGGAAAATGAGAAGGATGCTGGAATTATGGTGCCTGAGGTTTGAAACGAATAATGTAGGGTGAACTGAACATGGACTGATACAAATAGATAAACTTTTTGTTTCTACTTTTCCAATATTGAAAAGGCGTTTTGCCATACTGAGAGTTAGTTCAGATATCCCATAAAACCCTAAAAATTGAAGTGAGTTGGATAACATTTGCCAGTTATCAAATTTTATGAATTCCTAATAATTATTTCTCTAATTTGAGAAAATGGTTCATGCATACTGGCCCTATGAGCCATGTTAGGGCATTTCAAGTTGTTTGAATCTCGATTTGAAAATGTTGAAATGATGAATTTTCATATGAAGTATCATGCATAACAGATATATTACTTGATATTGTCAGGTTTCATACTATTTCAGAAAGCCATGTGTAAATGACATAGTGATCTTCAAAAGTCCACCAGTTCTCCAGGAAGTTGGATACACAGATGATGATGTCTTCATAAAAAGAATTGTTGCGAAGGAAGGTGATACTGTGGAGGTCAGATGCCAAAGAAGGCACTTTTGCTGAGTAATTTTATCATATCATTTCTGCATTTTCATTATGCATCAAACACTTCACTCTCTAAATCCTTATTTTTGAAACTTTTTTTTTTTTTTCCTCAGAGGGGGGATGCGATTTTTGTTTTAATGGGGCTGATGTGTGCCCCAAATAATGACATTCTGCAGGATAAACTGTGCATTCTAGTTCAGTAAACACTCTAAAAGCATTTGGAAACGACGCTTGTTGAACACATCTATCTTACAAAATATCTGTCATAATTTTCTCTTGGAATACTTTGATTATTGCGTTCAAAGATAGCCCATGGTTTGAATGCAGGTTCATGACGGGAAGCTTATAGTAAATGGAATTGTGAGAAGTGAAAAGTTTATTCTTGAACCTCCTTTGTATGAAATGACATCTATTGTAAGTATGAACTCCATCTTTGGCATTTCATGTCTTAGTTTTTTAATGTTCTTTTATCCCAACCTAGGCATAGGAGGAGGTTACCAAATAGCTTATAGTCCAATGGTAGTAATCTCTTACAACAAGAGATGTAGTCTACTAGGAGCTTTGGGTGTGTGAGTTAAAAAGGTACAGGAGGAGATTTGTCATTTGTGGTCGGTAGTCGACCAACATGAACAGAGTCACAGCTTGACTAAGAACTCCCCACTGTGTCATAGTGAAATTATGACTTGGTAGTCAAACTCCCAACGTCTTGCCTTGCAGTGTGTTTGCATGGAGAAGTACGATCCCTCCTTGGTTATAACTCATTTCTTGCCTGTAATGCAGCATGTACCTGCGAACTCTGTCTTTGTGATGGGTGACAATCGTAATAATAGTTATGATTCACACGTATGGTAATTGCTCCTTAACTTACAACTGCTAGATTAGACCAAGCTTTTATTTATATATTTTTTCACTTTTCAAATAGCATTGTTGACATCTGGAATTATGCATCTTTTAGGGGTCCCCTTCCCGCAAAGAATATAATTGGAAGATCAATTTTCCGCTATTGGCCACCTTATAGGATTGGTGGCACAGTTCTTGAGACTGGCTGTGCGGTTGATAAGCAGGAAAGCCCTGCTGCATCTAAATAGTTGGCAATCCATTGGAAGAGTTTATTTATTTTTTGGATGTTAACACTTTTCCTTTCTTCTTATTCTGTCCCTTTTCCTTTGCCTTCAATCTTCTCACCATTTTTTAAAAAATTGTGTAACAGCATTCATCACTTGAGAGAGGCAGTTCTTACAGGGGAAATTTTTCTGCCTCTTTCTAATGACCTTGATGTAATTATGGGTCATAACCTGTATTGATCTACATAATTGAATTGTAATCAATGAAGCAAACACACAAAATGGCAAATGATTTTATCAGATCCAAGCATGAGGAAGAATGCAAATAAGTTGATCTTGGAATTCATCATAATATTCTTTTCCATCATATAAGATCACACTTCGAGTCTAGAGTAGTGTTTGTTCATTCGGTACTTATCATGGGGAGTCAAATAATTCCATGGAATTGCAGACCTTTCGTGAAATGATTTTCTTAATTTGCATTTGTCTCTTCTGTACCTCATACACTGGATATCTAGGCCAGATTGTATAGCTCAAGTCATCTTAAACATGGCATCACAACGGAGCTAAAACTTCAACACCAGAGCATGGACTTATTCTATACAAAATTATGGTTGACATGATTTATGAGCCTAAGAAACATAACAGCATCAACTTCTAAAATGGAACTACCCCATATTGATTCGTTAGTTGATTGTATTCTTCTTCCATAGGGAAGAGAGAAACTGCGCAAAGGAGCTGGCTCAGTCACCAACCTCCTTGCCATTGCTATGGATACTCAATCATTCAATGATATGTACACGAATCCTCCTTAAATTTGATGGATTTGTTGCTACGATAATCAATAGCTAAAGAACAAGAGACTCGTCTCCTCTGCCTTGGCCTCACCAATTCTCCCACAACATTCCCTCTTGACCTGACTTCAAAAACTAAAGTCATTGGAACTCCTCCATTGTCTTCTGATACTGCTAAGCCTGCCCCTGCGCCATACAGTGGAACCTTTGTTCCTTTTAGATTCACGGACACGGTCCGGTGGCTCTTTCTTGGTTGAAAATATTTTTTCAACTGCAAACATGTTAAAAAGGGGAAACTGTACTTCATATAACTCAGCAAAAAAAGCATAGCCAATTAACAGGGATCTCTTCCAAGTTCCAAGCAAGCAGTCACCAAACAGTAGCTACAAAGTTAGAAGGATCTCTTTTTTGGAGATTCATACTACTCAAGGTTAGTTTCTATTTATTCATGGGAAAATCATTGTCCTCTAATCAACTCAATTCGCAGAGCCAATGCTCATAGCAAGAAAACTTACCTCACCAGTTGCAGCTGTCAGCTCTGAATACATAAGATTGACAGGCATGGAACTGACGTGAATGCCGAAAAAAGTAGCAGGGTTGTACACATTCATCTTCACTGAACAATTCACTGTCAACATCTTGGTTGGGACTCCTGTCAAGTCCGAACCTTCACCAAAATAAAAATTATGTACAGTCAAGCTCTGCAGGAAAAAGAAAAAAGAAAAAGAAAAAAAAGAGTTGTTTCTCAGCTGTTTAGCTTTTAGAATGAATCACAAAAAATAACAAAACAAAAACAGACAATTTAAGAAGGATTTGAACTTAAATAATTATGTGAAAAAAAGATTAAATTTAACATGTGGATACCTTAACAGTAATTTGGGGTTTGAAAGGCCTACTGGCACCCCAAATGATGAAGCAAAAGATACAAAAAGCCAACACAAAACCCGAAACCCAAATCAAAACCTGACACGGCCACCTCGTCCTTGAAAACCCATTTCCATAAGGATCGTAATCTCCTTCCTCTTCAATAACATCATCACCCTGTGACTGAGGCGGCCACCCCTTATTCTTGCCCCTCCCTTTCCACCCATAACCGCCACCACCGGAAACCCTGCTGGCCGACGAGGACCGAGAGTGTCGCCCGTAAGAAAGGTGGAAAGGGGACTCCAGGGGGCTGGAGTAGGCAGGAGTGGTTTGCGTTGAAGAGGACTTATCCTCATCGTGAGAGTCCCGTGATGGGCTCTGCACGTAGTACAAGACGGGGCGTTTTGGTGACCGTGGCGATGATGGTGCCAGGCTTGTACTGTCCGATTCCGATTTGGCGTGCAACATTTTTCTTTTATAAGTTTTTGTCGGCAATTTTTGGAAAGTGAGGAAGACAGAAACAACAGAGAATTGATTTTAATTTAATTTTAAGGATTCAAACTGAAACTGAAACAGAAACAGAAAGGTGAAAATTGATAAATTAATAAGACAGTGGCAGAGTTGGTCAGACACTGCTGTACTAGTTACTGCTGATTGATGAGGTCCGAAAGAAAAGAAGGGTTACATCCCTAGGTTCGGAATCCGAACCACAACTATGTTCAAGGACCAGATTTTGGTCGTTACTTTTTAATTTTTCGCCTACTAATGAGGTTTGAATGTTGTCGTGGCAGTAGTTTGTAGGTGGGATACGACACGACACGACGCTAGTTTGAGAAACTCTCACGACGTCGTTGTGTCTCACGTTCGCATGCGTCCCACGTTTGCATTTTTGGCAAGAAGAGCGGTAATCTAGCATTGATGGGTGGGGCTCGGTAACATTTTTGTCATTTGCTGGTAATGGTACCCTTAAACCAGATTATAAAGAGTTTAACTTATGAAACTGGTACTAATTAGGATAAATTATTTCAATTATTCTGTATTTTGGTGATAGGCACATTTTGCACTCTTATTTTTTAAAATTACACTATTATTTTTTAAAAAATTACGCTTTATATGCTATCTATTTGACATTTAATTTTTAGACAAGTATATATATATATATATATAAAAGCTAAACTTTTCTTTCTCAAGCCCACCTAACTATTCTCTCTCTTCTTTTTCGTCTCTCATTTCGAGAAGAGAAAAAAACGAAAGATCACATAATCAATTTAGTAAATTTAATTAAAAAAACCTTTTTTTAATTCCTCTTATAGTTGATAAAACTTTATTTGGTCGTTTGAACAAGAACCTAACACGAATTGAACGAATCGAAGAAGATATGTGAAACCCTAATGCTGATTCTTAAAATTTTTAAACAAAAAGGTATTTAAATCATAAAATGTTTTGATTAAGTTTATATGTTTAGAATTCGAGCAAAACCCATAAAAATTATTTTGTTTTTTAAGGATTTATAAGCTCCATTATGAAATTTTAAGAAAGTCCAAATTGTTTAATGCCTATACTTTGGTTAGAAATTGATTGTTTAAACTTTAATTGGTTTGTAGTGCTCGCAGCCTAAACGTGGAGGCCACGAGTGCTAAGGTAACGTCAAACATTTGTAGATCGTTGAACACGACTACAACACGTTGGCCGACAGAGGCTAGCCGCGCTATGTCCTATGCTCGTCGAATGCATAACAACGCCACTATGACACGGGGTTTATATGGAACATGAAATGCACAACGAAAAATATTTTCTTTTTAAAGCTCAAAGAAATAGAATTAAGCCTATGATAGTCTTTGTTCAACTTATTAAAAGCCAACATAAATTTCTTTGTCATGACATAAAAATATTTTATCCACGAAAAGGACATGTTATAACATAAAAAATTCAACGTAAACTAAGCCAACACAATTTTTTGCATGACAAAGCTTCACTTCATAAAATATCAATTAGTTAATACATTATCATTGTAGCACCCCAACCTAAGATCTAATAGGTCGAGAATATTATCGTCGTTGACTTATATTCAAAGTGCAATGAATGCAAGCCAACAAAGTACTCGTGTCTTTCCTATGATAATACTAGGCATAAGTTTAGCTACGGAAGCCTAACTATGATTGACGAGTCCTAAATTTCAACCTAAAATACACTATAAATTTTTCACGTTTTAGCATTTTATTTTAATTACTTTGACTGACCATACTAAATATATGACGCTCAATTTTTTCAAATTACTTTTCTATTATTATGTATAAATTCATTTAATTATTACTCGTTATTCGATATTTTTTTATCCTCATTAATAGCCATTTATTATTGTTGCTTTCCTTATTATTTTAGTAATCACATTTTATTATTTACATGGGCATGTAAATAAATGAGTAAAGGAATCTAATATTACTCACTCCCATACTATCATATCTTTATCGACATGTCCAAAATTTCAACTAGTATACAAACTACTTTATATTTTACATATACCGAGTTTTATACCGTACACTACAAAAATAACTTATTTATCTACATCCATTTTCTTTCTAACTAACTATTTATTTGTTAATAACCTTAACTATTATGCAAAATAAAGACGTCATACCCATTACGTATGCTAAAACACTCGAGCACTAATAAAACGAGTAGTAAGAAGGAGATCCAGCTTACATCCATACATAAGACACACGTGACGAACTATTGAAAGTGATCCTTTAGTAGTCAAGTCAATCGAGAACATCGTCATTTTTCTTACATTTGGTTCTTAAACCACAAAAACTAGGTGAGCGATTTGTTACGCTCGCCTAAAAGAGGGATTTTTCTAGAGATTCTAGAGAACACTAGATAAGTCTAGAAGCTTATAGAAGAGTATGGAACAATAGAGAAGCCTCTAGATAATTCCGGAAGCTTTTAGAAGAGTATGGAACAATGAAAATGCCTCTAGATAAGTCTAGAAACTTTTAGAAGAGTATGGAGCAAAGGAGAAGCCTCTAGATAAGGCTGGAAGCTTCTAAAAGAGTATAGAGCATTGGAGAAGTCTTTAGGATGATCTAGAGAAATCTAGACATGTTCTAGAGAATTCTAGAGAGTCCCTCACTAATCTAACATGTACGTGTCTAGATAGTTCCTTGTAAATATCTAGATAGGATATTTCTAGAGAAACAATTATAGCCATTAGATTAAATAGATCCTAGCCATCCATTGAGGAGGTGGAAGGCTATAAATAGGTGAAGCCTTCACTTGACCAAGACACCTACACATTCATAAACTTAAGAGAGTGTGTATTTAGAGTTGTAAGCTTTTAGAAAGCAATACAAAGAGTATTTATATCTTTTGTGTGTGTCTTTCTTGCTTAGCAACTTTATGTGAAGAAGGCCGACTTGGTTTGTCTTAGAGAAGAAGAGAGCCAAGTGCCGCACGAGAGCTTGGGAAAGGCCAAGTCCGTGACAAGTGGTATCGAGCCGAGTTTTATCAAAGTGTGAGTAAGCTTGTCGCTAGCTAAAGTGTTCAAGAGAGTAAGCATGTCTAGCTTTGGCATGGAGGATGTTGCTTGGGGATGCTAGGAATGAGACTCTACCTCCTCAACCTAAGAAAGGAAGGGGGAAGTCTCGTGATGTATTAGTCTCCTTGGAGGAGCGACTCATAAAGGCGGAGGAACACCTTACCGATTTCAAGGAGAGACTCGAGGAGATAGAAGGAGATGATGATGGGGAGACATTAGGCATGGTAGGCCTAGGTGAGGTGCTCTCCAATCTCCAAGCTCGAGTGGAAACAGTTGAGAGGTGTGCCAAAGAGAGCACTCGCTAAAAAGGATGCCTTCATGGAATGGACGAAGGAGAGATTTGAGCAATATCAAGAGTATATGACTAGGTATGAGCAAACTCTTGAACAACCGAGAAAAGATTGGGCAAATTGTCGAGAAGCTATCTCGAATGGTGTGGTCTTAAGGGACACGCCAAAAGTTGAAGTGCCAAGACCAAGGCACTATACTCGGCAAGCGAGATGCCAAGGAAGTGGATAACTTCTTTTGGCAAGTAGAGCAATATTTCGAGGCAATGGGATTGATCGAGGATAGAAGTCGTGTCAAGACCGCTACCCTCTATCTTTCGGAGGATGCTGCTTTATGGTGGCGTATAAAGCACCAAGAGCTCAAAGAGGGGAATCTAGAGTTGCCTAGTTGGGATGAATTCAAAGAAGCCATGTATGCTCAATTCTACCCCAAGAAAGCTGATTGGAAAGCACGAGACAAGCTACGAACATTGAAGCATACGAAAACTATTCACGAGTATGTCCGAGAATATCTTTCTCTTAAACTTTAGGTACGTGGCAAACCCGACTATGATCATATGTATGATTTTATAAAGGGACTTCGATCATGGGCACAACAAGAGGTGCGAGGTCGATGGCCTAAGACCTTCGCCAAAGCTGCAGCCATAGCTGAATCCTTAATTGAATATAACAAAAGGGCAGAATCCTCCAAGCCTAAGAAAGACTTCAAGGGCAAAGGTGGGGGAGCTTATAAAAAGAAGGGGTATAAAGATGGGTAAGATAAAGCACATAAGTTCAAGAGCTTTTTCAAAGAGCATGATAAGAGAGAATTCAAGCCCAAGGGTTATTACTTTTGCAATGGGCCACATCGGTGGAAAGAGTGCCCAAAGCGACAAGCCCTCAATGCTTTGATGGAGGAAAAAGAGTGTGCTCCGAGCATGAGAAGCATTTGGGATCGGTTCGGCTTCTCAATGCCTATAATGTTAAGCCCTCACCTAAGATGCCACCAAATGATGGGCTTATGTACGTGGATGTGGACATGAATGGCAAGGCCACGCTTGCCATGCTAGATACGGGAGCCACACATAATTTTATGGTCGAGAATGAGGCCAAAAGACTTGGCTTGGTGGTGACCAAGTCATCAAGTAGCATGAAGATCGTGAATGCTCCCCTAAGCCTACTTATGGCGTAGCGCGTGAGGTAAGGCTTGGCATAGACGCATGGAAAGGGATGCTAGATTTCACCATTATCACAATGGACGACTTTAAGGTTGTGCTAGGCATAAAGTTCTTTAAACAAGCGAAAGTCGTGCTTATACCTCGCTTGGAGCAAATGGTGATCATGAAAGAAGAAATGTCATATATGGTGCCGGCCAAGGTGCACGCAAGATCGGACTTGAAGCATCTCTCGACTATGCAAGTAAAGAAGGGCTTCAAGAAAGGGGAAGACACCTACGTGGCAACATTGAGAGAAGATGAGATAGTAGATGATGAGGGTATAAAAGTACATGAAGAGATCGTTAACGTGCTAGCCAAATTTGATGATGTGATGCCATAAGAGTTGCCTAAAAGCCGCCACCCAAAAGAGAAATTGATCACCAAATAGAGTTGGTGTCGAGTGTTAAGTCGCCAACCATGGTACCTTATCGGATGGGCCTTCATGAGTTGGAGGAATTGAGGAAGCAATCAAAGACCAATGTGGTGGCCTATGCACTTAGTAGAAAGGCCGAGTTGCATCACATGACAAAGGTGGATGGGGAGATCGTGACCGGAATCGGGGAAGGAGTGGAGCATGATCCCATCACTAAGAGTTTGTTGAGCCTTGCAAAGGAGGGCAAGACTTGAAAATTTTAAGAGGAAAATGGCATTCTCTACACAAAGAGGAGGAGGATTTATGTACCAACGTGGGGAAACCTCCAACGAGATTTGATGAAGGAATGCCATGACTCGATGTAGGCCGGACATCTAGGACAACAACGCATTAGAGCCTTGCTTGGAGGGAGCCTACTTTTGGCCACGAGTTGCGCGATGATGTGGAGTCCTATGTGAGAACATGTTCGGTGTGCCAGCAAGATAAAGTTAAAAATCGAGTGCACGGAGGTCTATTGCAACCTTTTCCTATCGCGGAGAGACCATGAGAGACAATCACCATGGACTAAATAGTG